TCCAAAAAAAAATGAGAGTGGTGTAAGCAGCCTCTGGGACAACTTCCATAGGTCCAACATTTGCATCATAGGACTGCCAGAGGAGAAGAGAAAGAGCAAGAAATTGGAAATCTATTTGAAAAAATAATGGAAGAAAACTCCCCTAATTTGATGAAGAAAATAGACATGCCAGTCCAGGAAGCACAGAGAATCCCAAACAAGATGGATGCAAAGAGACCCACTCCAAGACACATCATATTAAAATGCCAAACGTCAAAGATAAAGAGAGAATCTTAAAAGCAGCAAGAGAAAAGCAGTTAGTTACCTGCAGGACAATTCCCATAATAATGTCAGCTGATTTCTCAAAAGAAACTTTGCAGGCTAGAAGGGATTGGCAAGGAATACTCAAAGTCATGAAAAGCAGAGACCCACACCCAAGATTGCTCTACCCAGCAAAGCTATCATTTAGAATTGAAGGACAGATAATAAAGAGCATTCCGGACAAGAAAAAAACTAAAGGAGTTCATCATCACTAAGCCATTATTTTATGAAATGTTCAAGGGACTTACTTAAGAAAAAGACCAAAACTATGAACAACAAAATGGCAATGAATACATATCTATCAACAACTGAATATAAAAAAACAAACTAAGCAAATGAGGAGAACAGAGACAGAGTCATGGATACAGAGAGGGTTTTGATGGTGGCCAAATGGGAGGGGCATGTGGGGAATGGGTGAAGAGGTACAGGATGAAGAAGTTCAAATAGGTAGTTACAGAATAGCCATAGAGATGTCCCATACAGTGTAGGGAATGGAGTGACCAAAGAACTTGTAGGTGTGACCCACAGACAGGAACAATGGTGGAGGGATTGTCTGAGGGTGTGGGGGGCAGTGTGGAGGGGAGCAAAGAGGGGAAAATTGGGACAACTGTTGTAATAGCATAATCAATAAAATATAATTTTAAAAGATGTCTTTAACTGTAAAAACATACATACTCATGAAAAAATATAAATATGCATAAAGAAAAAAGGAGTTGCCCTGGCTGATGTGGCTCAGCAGATTGAGCACCAGCCTGCAAACCAAGGCGGGTTGCCAGTTCGATTCCTGGTCAGGGCATATGCCTGGATTATAGGCCCAGTCCCCAGTTGGGGCACATGCAAGAGGCAAATGATCGACATTTCTCTCGCATATCATGTTTCTCTCTCACTTTCTCCCTCCCTTCTCCTCTCTAAAAATAAATAAATAAAATCTTTTTTTAAAAAGAAAAAAGGAACAAATTTGGTCTTCAGTGACTTCCTCATGCTCTTAGAATATTGCAAAATTGCTCAACATGGTCCATATCCAAGGCAGACCTCCCTTCCCCTTCCCCGCCCCTCCCAGCAGCCCTTGGCCTGCCTCTCCCTGTGCAGCATCCTCCACCTGGAACATATGTCCTCCATCTTCGCTCTCCCCATTTCTATCCTTTCCTTCCTTGACTCCCCAGACCAGCCATTTGCTCCCAGAGACAGCATTTGCTTGTAACCGTGTGGTTCTCTGGATGGACTGCCAGCATCTTGAGGAAGCTTTGGATCCTCTTGTATCCTCAAAGGCAGCATTGTGTCTCAGTAAACATTCCCTCGATGACTCTCACCGTCCAGAGAGAACCGGCACTTACAATGTGGTGACTGCTCATCCTTCCAGAGGGAGTGGATGGGATAAGGTCTCCAAACCATAAGTAAAGCACAGTTAGAAAATTTCATGGAGGTTCATTAAAGTGCATACCAAGGAAGGAACAGGAGGAAATCAAATCATTCACGCAGAGTTTGTATGGGCAATATAGATAGGGGGGAAGTGGTTTGATTTGGTTTGTGATCTAGGATCATTAAGTATAAGGAACTGGTTGTGTCCTTACCTTTTGCAACCCATCTTATTTGTGGCTGCCTGTGATGTGAGCAACGCTGGGGCCTGGCTGCCTCAGGGTCACCCATGGGAACCCCAGGACATGCCGGCTTGGGGCTCAGATTCCAGCCCCATCCCACACTGACAGGAATCCATGTCCATCTCGCTGCTGGGGGGAGGGGGCCAGACCTCCACCCACGCAGGGCAAGGGCACCTGGCCTGGGAAAGGTGTTGGAAAGAGAGGCCCAACCAGGTAGTCACCAATGGCGGAGGGGCCACATGGCAGGGTAAAGACACAGCCTTGGATTCAGACAGACCCGGATTTGGGGTCCCGTTCAGCTTCTTAACTAGCTGGGGCTCCTTGGACCACTATTCTTACCAATATGAGCCTCAGAGGCCTCATCTGTAAACAGGTAAAAACACCTTGCAGCATCATTAGGATGAGAAAAAGTATCCTGTTTATAAATCACCTGGTAGAAGGTCCACAAATTGTAACCTTTATTTTTAGTTAATTTTCTACCCAAATGTCTACCCCATGTCTCTACCCAAAAAGGTTCTGTGGACTTCTAGGTAACCAGCAGGGCCAGTGGTGTAGCTCTTTGCTGCCCACAGATTTTGTTTTCCAGTGAAAACCCACGGTAACATACTACCGGAGACCCTTACCTCCAGCCCTGCCCGCAGCCCTTACCTCAAGCCGGCTGCACAGCAGGACAACTTGGAAACTTTACTCCAGGACAGACTCCACTGTTGTGATGCAGAGGGACCTGTCCACAGACATGTACCCTGAAGTAGGCTAAGTCCTGAAGTACGAGGTCCCCATAGCACCCACCTCATCATAGAAACCGTCATGGTTCGTAGTTGTCCTCAGGGGTCATCATCACCTTCCTCAGTAGCTTCTGGGAGCTTATAAGTTTTCTGAAGTCCACATCGGACTGAACTGGAATCCTTACGTGGTGCGCCAGTGCGCATTTGTGCCCTGCGGGGCACATGTGCTGCCCACGTGAGTGGAAGAAGCCGGCCTGGCCCTCCAGCGTGTCTCTCTAGCTTGTCCCACTCAGGCAGCTCACCACTTAAAAACCCTAACTGTGCAGCACATAAGTTTAAAAACCAGGGTGGGGCGGGCAAAATGGGTGAAAGGATCAAGAGGTACAAATTTCCAAATATAAAATGAGTAAACCACGGGGATATAATGGACAGCATGGTAACTATAATTGATAATACTGTATTGCACATTTGACAGCAGCTAGGAGGGTAGATCTTGGAAGTTCTCATCACAAGAAAAAAATTCTACCTACAACATATGGAGACAGATGTTAACTGGACTTATGGTGGCGATCATCTTGCAGTGTGTACAAATATTGAATCATTACGTTATGTACCTGAAACTAATATAATGTTATGTCAATTATATCTCAATAAAACAAAAATTAAATAAAAACCAAAGTGAAATGCAATTGCCCTCCCAATAAATTCCATTTCTTAAAAAAAAATCATAATGAAATATTAAAATGCAGCTTCCCATTACTCAGTATGCTATTTTTCTGTGGACATGAGGCAGTTTTATTAAGCACTTCGAAGTTATCTTTGATGAAACTCCATTGATTAAAAAATTCCATACACCTATGCTTATGTTTCATAAATTTACCAAAAAAGCTTAATTTTACTCATGTTTTGGGTTGTCACCTAAAACTGTGGGTATGGCCCTGACCAGGTAGCTCGGCTGGTGGAAGCATTGTCCCGTACACCAAAAGGTTGCAGGTTCAATTCGTGGCCAGGGCACATACCTAGGTTGAGGGTTTGATCCCTGCTCAGGGCATGTTTTGGTATGAAATAGGACCAGGCTGAGGTATTGTTGCTGCTATTTTGTTTTGCTTTGTTTTTTAAGTGGCATACATCTGCGGAAGACTGGAGCTAGGGATTGGCCCGTAACTGACATGGTACAGGGCTGGCTGTCCTCGCCCATGATTGTTTAAGCAACAGTCCACACAGACAGCCCACCTGGCAACCCCTCTGCTTGAGAGGCTGCCCTGAGCCCAGCCCAGCCCTTGCACACAGCAGTTTAAGGTCTTTCAATAGCACACTTCTGCTCCTGTGGAATCGGTTTCCTGCCTCTAGTCTGTACTTCTCATAGATACAGAGAAGGCTTTGGTGTCCTGTACCTCAGTAAATAAGGAAAGTGCTTTCCTAAGTGGCTGGTCCAATGACTGAGTGTTCCTTCCCATCCTCTACAAGAATCACCATCTGCTCTCCCAAATTCTTCTGGAAAGAGCACTGTAACCGTGTCATCCTAATAGCGATGCTGTGGAGAAGAGGGAGGCACCTTCTTCCACTTCCTGTTCCTTATGGCCACCCCTGAAACCCTCCGCGTGAGTCACATAGCCCAGACATCACGGGGGACATGTTTCCTGCCCCCTTTCTGCAAAGACAGGGGCCAACCTCAAAAAAGGATCTTCAGGGAGACAGGTCCTGTGGGTTCGGTAATGTGGCTTTCCTCCCCCCGGGGTGGGGCCGGGCAGCAGCCGCGCACAGGGGGCCTCGCACTTCAGTTTTCAGTCTGAGTTGCACAATTGCCACTTCCCTGCAGTTTCCCCCTCCTGAGCCCTGAGCTGTTTGCACAGCTCCTCCCATCCACAAAGCAGCCACAGGGTGGCTTTCCTCTGGCTAGAAGATGTAGGATGGCTGTGTTCCAAGTTTTCCTACCTAAGACCCTTTCTAGCAGGGGACTGACTTAGGCTATCTGTGATCAAGAAGAGCGCAGTGTTGCCTTTGTGATACTATTAACACCCTGTCCAATAAACAGGCTTCTGGTGAATAATGGCCCTTCCGTTTCCTTCCCCACAGGTCCGGCAGCTGGCGGTGATGGTAAACATGGCAGAAGCACCTACGCCTCTTCCAGAAACCGTTGGACTCGTTTTGGGAAATACTTTCACAATTAGTGTCTTTTGAGAAACTGCTACTTACTTCATAAACTAATCTGATTTTTTCCAGAGGTAATGTCATCCTGTGTTAAGGGGAGGCCCATTCCAAAATGGTCCTACTTAATCTTTCCTTAAATGACCCAGGAGCCCCAAACATAATTACGTCTCAAGCATATTTTTAGGAATTATTTATTTCAAACATTTACAATTTTCACTTGAAATGCAAAATATCTGATAAAAAAAAAAACATTGAAAAGCATATCATACTGACCCTTTGCCCCATATACAGACATCAGCCTTTGGTATTTGCTTTTAGATAATTAGGTAAAAAAATAAAAACAAGCTTAAAACTATTATTTCTCTCCAAAATGAAAAGTTGAGGTATTTATTTAACAGATGTGTGATCTCCACCCAAAAATGGTTTCTCTATCAATTAACAGTCTTGCTACATGCTGTTCCAATCCTTTCCTTCTAAAGCAGATCTTCCTTTCAGCCTGTTCATGAAACCGACAATGTTCCTTAATATATCATTAAGGTTGCAAAATAATATTGAATGTCAACTGTAATTGGAAAAAAATAAAAATTAGCAAATGAAAATCATTGAGGTTGCCATAGAAACACAGGTGCGAGCACCAAACCACACAGAGGACATGCTGCCGGGGGGACCGGATTCAGGGGCTGGCCAGGAGCGCCTGGTGCAGAGCCCGCCCGAGCTGCCCGGCTCGCTCCGCACGCGGCCCCGGCCCCGGCCCCGGCCCCGCCCGCGCGGGGAAGCTGGGCTGTGTGTTCAAGGTCTGAAGGACCGACAGTCGCCCCTGCTTGTCCAAATTAAGATAAATTTCTCACCAACTCCACCTGGAGCTGGGTGCCAGACTCCCCCCTGCTGACTCAACCTCAGAGGAGGCAATATAGCTCAGCACCAAAGCAGCAGGACAAGACATTCCTGAACGCTCTGCAGAAACCCATGAACCATGATCACTCTCAGTCTGCTCCACGGGGTTCTGTTCACCACCAGGTGGGCTCCCATCTTGGGCCCACCCAACAGCAGATTCCACCCCTTGTAATGGTGTTTCCTTCCCCAAACCCCCTCTCCACAGGAGAAGGGAAATGGAAACAAAGTGAGCCCAGAGCCTGGCAAAAAACCAGAGCCTAGGGCTCCATCCAAACGAATGGCTCTCTGAGTTACGCGTGGCTTTGTAGATACAGCCAATGCTACCCCCTTGACATTTGAAAAAAATGTTTTATTAATGCTACAAGAATTAAGGACCACTTTAGTTTAGACCTTGAACCAGCATATTTTTAACTTTTTCAACCCAGCAGGATAAATTGTCACGTTTAATACAAATTGTCACCATCCCAACATTTCACATCTGGCTGTGTGACCGACTGCTACAGATACTAGGTGAGTAACATCATCATTGAGGATAAAAGGCAGCCCATGAGCTGCAGAAACACAGGTAAGAATGACCTCTGGATTGGAACACGTGGTCATAGACCATAGATTCGAGGCAGAGAAAGCTTAGGGTGTACCTGTGTACACTGAGCAAAGCCCACAACCCCGAAAAGACAAGTACTTTTCCTTCATTTACACTAGCTTATAAAAATATAAAGGGAAAAAAAACCCTCTTCAATACAAAAAAAAACAAAAAACAAAAAACAACGTGGTTCCGTTACAATAATAATGAAAGCAATAACAATTTGGAGATCAAAGCTGCCTACCTCTCAGTGACTGTGAGTTATCTGGGTTTCACATCTTCCACTAGCACCTCTCCGCCTGGCTTTGGTAATATTACATGTGGGTAAAACCTTATAAAGAGTTAAAGAACCGTGGGCACAGAATCACCCTTTCTCATGCAGAGTCTCTCTCTTTTTTTTTTTAACATTTCCCTTTAACAGCATTTTTGCTGTTCTCAAAGAAACTTTACAGAAAAAAAAACAAAAACCACCTGCCTGATGTCTGTCGACTTAAGAAAGCTGCCTGAAGCAGCAACAGGTCTGAAACCGACAGACAAAGGCAGCAATGAAAATCACAACTTGCCCAAGATAGCAACAGTTTGAACCCAGCCAACAGTGAATAAAGCGCAGTCATTTTCATCCTTTGCCACCTGTCTGGTACTGGTGGTTGTTTTTCTAAAAGGGTGGACTACTAGAAAAATTTGTGGTCTGGTAAATTTTTGGTCCGTGGTTACACAACTGATTTGAATCATAGCTTCTTCTGGGACACCCTGTGATACTTAAAGGCACTTGTCTGGGTAACCACTCGCATCATTGAATTTTCAAAGCCCGAACTGAAAAGTGAGCTAAAGTGGTTAGTCTCAGAGTCACGGCTAGATATTTAGCTGGAGCTTTAATACTAACTGAACTGAATCACATTCAAGGAACTAAATAAAAAAAGGAAGGCACTGAGGGTTTCTTTTTTTTTAATGAACCTCCCTCCCTCTGATAACGAGAGCTGTCGGGGGTGGGGGTTTTCAGCTGACCCTGCTTGGTAGCCGTGGGAGGCCAGCTTCCCAGCACCGCCACCACAGAGATGGACACCGTGTCCTTCACAACGGCTGGGGGTGGGTAGTAACAAGCTGCTTTCCCCCAAATTAGAGGAGCAGCAGCCAATTTTTTTTTTTTTTTTTTTTTTACTTTTTAAGACAAAAACAAAATTTAGAATGAAACCAGACTCTATTCTCTGAGAAAGGAAAATAATTTTTTCTCCTCCCCCTTTTCGCTTGACTCAGTTGCATGCCAGACAAAGTCAATGTGCTTCTCCCCAAGTTATTTATATCCTGGCTCTCAGCTAATAAGGGATCGTCATCCTCTCAAGAAAAATAGTCAGCAGTTCATTAAAAAACAAATTAAAACACATTCCAGTTGGGTTCTTCTGTCTTTTCAGATAAATATTTCCTTCCGTTACTCAGGCTCAGGTGAAAACAAGATAAACAAGGCCAACATTTTGATCTCCCACCATGCCAATTCTCCTTTTGGGGGAGCGAGGGACGGAAGGAGAAAGGATACTGGTTTTCAGAGGCTGCATCCCCTTTAGCCTCTGCCCTCACACCCTCACTTCCTCTGTGCGTCTCTCCTCTCCTCCTGAAGTCCTGGGGTCCAGAGAAGGAAACTGAGTCAGTGCAGTTGCTTCTAGATACAGCAGGTGCCTAGAGTTAAGATTCACATTTAGCAAAATGCTAATGAGGAACTAATTACAATTCCACTTCAAACCATCTGGTCCTGAGATACTATTCACCTGCCCCCTCAGCTGTTTTTCCAGTGTGGGGAGGAAAGGCAGTCGAAAGCTTCTGCAGCCTGGGCGGTTGAAGAAGAGCCATCCTCAGGCCTAGAGAAACTGAAATGTGAAGGCACTTGGGTTTCAAGAGCTTGAGCTAGAAGATGAAACTGTGCAGTGGGCCAGGAGAGAGGCGACTGGAGGTCTTTGGATGGAAATCTATCCCATCTCCTGAGGGTACAGCTTGTGGACCTGTGTCAGGTGTGAGGGTGGCCAGCAGTTTGTCTGCACAAAGGCCAGGTCCAAGGCCTCTGCAGCCGCCCTGCTTTGCCCACCTCAATGTCCAGTGGACTCTTGACACCCCTCTCTGCTCAGGGCCCAAGTTCACCCCAATCCCTTTAAGCAGGGCTTTGGGGAAGGGTGGTTCAAAAACCCAACCACCTCTTCCTTCTGAACAGGTGCAGCAAACTATTTTCATCCAGCGTAGAACCTTCTGCGAGGCCCTTCTGTAAGAGTGAAGCCAGAGGCCCCACGCACCAGAGTTGAGCTGGAATGACAGTGACAAGCCAGCGTGTGCTTCGTCATCCACACAGTTCAGCAGGTGTGACACCCCAGGCTGCCAGGCGCCACCCAGCCAGCTACTGCGGGAAGAAGTAGTCTCTGTTGCTGATGTCATAAGGGCTCTGTGGACCCCTGGCATCTGGTTGGCTGTGCCTCAAGGTGTTGTCTGACCCAAGGCTGCTGGGGGACACTGGTGGGGAGATGAGGGGAACAAGCACTGGCGTGGGCTTGGGCCTCTCAGGGACCAGCTGTCCCAAAGAATAAGGCGGGTGCATGCTTGTCTTGCCTTCTTTCAGAGCCTGCAGCTTCCATGTCTTCTTGAACCTTCACACAGACACACAAAGACAAACCACACAGATGTTTAGTTCCCCCTCTGCTGTACCTGAGTAAAAACACCAACAGCTGGCCACCATGGTGGCCTTGCAATCCCAGGTTTCAGCTCAAAAGAGCGATATCTATTCCATCACATCTTCTTTTATCACCAGGAATTACATAATACTCTGAGGAGGTGGGGTTTCAAAAACCTCCCAAGAGAATATGTATGTACTGTTCGCAAATTTGCAACTGGAGATACTGAGGCACGCGTGGCCACAAGTGTCCCTTTATAGCACCAGGAACTTAATTTGTCCTGTTCCAGAGGTTGCCCATAGGCACACATCAGCCCCAAATCCATTTACTTAAAAGAGACAGAGAGCACATTATTTTAGTGGGGAAGGAAAATGGGCCTCTCAGTGAAATGAAGGCTGGCAGGAGGCACATAATTTGCACCGCCATTTCACAGCAGGAATGGGGCTGCGCAGCTCCCTGAACAGCCCTCCGGTTCCTCCTGCTTCCAACAGCCCCTCCTCCGCAATTCTCCCTGCACCCCCGGGTCCACTCCCACCATGCTGCTGAGTTCTCATGGGCTCAGCCGTGGGCACCACTCGGGCGTAAGTGACTCATCTGACAGGAAAGTCAATGTTAAACAGGAAGGAGATAGACATCTCTCTGATCACAGCTTCTTTCACCCTGCTCTGCTCTGGGTCCAAAGCTGTGGCGCAGTAACTGAGAAAAGTCACCTGACAGCCCAAAGAAAGATGAGCTGGTGATAGCAATCTTTAAAGGTACAGTCAGGTCTCCTTCCTGAAAGGGCCCTTTGACTGTGTGACTGTGCAACTGGCAACTCATCTCCTCCCTCCTGCCTCCCACTTTGCCACCTACTAACTTACTGCCGTCCAGCCCCAGCGCAGGAGCAAGGTGGTCTCCCTCCATTCCACCCCTGTCAGCTATTCCAGGAAGGGCTGGGAGGCAGGAGGGGAAACCAAAGACAAAAACAAGGCCTGGGGAGTTTCTTGGGTTTCTTTTTATATCGACAGGCTATTCCTGTCTTTGTTATGATAAATAATTGATAGTTGGCTCTACATCTGCCAGTGGCCCTTAGCCTGTTATCCAAGTGGAATAAACAACCTATAGAATATTCCTGAGGGCTTCACCAGGCAGGCATTAGACAGGAAGAGAGCACAGCAGGGTCTCACTGGAGCTATGCCGGGTCTTCGGATGGAATTTTTTGTCCCCATGACAAGACGGAGGACAGAGTCATTACACTCTGGACTCCAAAATATTCAAATTCTCAGGCCCAGGAATTCCACTTCTGGGAATATGCCCTAAGGAAATAACCTAGCTATGGAAAAAGCTTTATGCACAAAGATGTTCAACATAATGCTTTATATAAAAGCAAAACAACAACCCAAATGCCCAATAATGGGGGCTGGCTACGTGAACTTGGGTGCATTTGCCTAATTGAAGAGCTTGCAGCTAAAGAGAGTGAGGCTTACAGAGACTTCGTAATGTGGAAAATGCTTACGTTATAATAACGCTAAATTTAAAAGGCAGGAAGGAGAGTTTTCGGTGCAGAATAATCATAGCTACATAAATGCAAACAAGAAACTATGTAGAGGAAAAAGACTCAAGAAAGTCATTAACTATAAAATGTTCTTGATCTGGGTACCGATTGCCTGGGGTGTCCACCTTGTGAAAACTCCCGGAGGTGTGCACGAATGACGCGTGCACTTTTCTGTATGGTCGCTAGACTTCTATCACATTTACATTTTAAAAATTAACAGTGATTCTCTTTGCATAATGTATGATTTTTTTCCCTGTCAATACTGAGCAAATTGCCAGTATTTAGCAAATACTCATATAATATCACAACTTTTTAAAGCATCCATTGACATTATTTAACCAATATGAAAAGCAGTCTCCATCCTCAGTTTTTTTCAAAGCAGCTGGACGGGTAACTGAGAAAAATGGGCTCTCCTTCTTTTGAAATATTTTGAGTGAATGAGACACTTTCTGAGCTCAAAGGGACTTTCGCACCAGCCAGCCTGAGGGTGTCCACGTCCGGCCTGGTCCTGGCCTGGTCCTGGCCTGGTCCTGGCCTGGGCAGGGTCTGAGCAGGGCCTGGGGGCTAGACAGCGCCTGGGGCAGACGGAAGGAAGGACAGACAAGCTGTCAGGCCTCACTTGCACCTGGGCCTCTACCTTTTACCTAGTTTACATATTTGGGCTTCAGAATGTTTGTTTAAAGGGAAAGGTTCTACAGCTGAAAGAAAGTTTTAAAAATAAAAACATTCACAGTAACTCTCGCTCTTTTTAGAAAATAAGATAGGGAAACCAAGACCTAGGGAGAGGGAAGTAATCCCTACCCCCAAGGCCATCTGAGAGTCCCTGTCACCCTCCATGAAGGTAGGAGAGTCTGCAATTTTGAAATGTTGGAATGAGACTATATTCAATACAAAATTCTCTAAATCAAAGGCATATACACACAGGAAGTCCTCACCTAAGTGACAGTCCGTTCTGGATAAATGTACAGAAAAAGAATTCTCTGCTCTGAGAATCCTATTTTCCTAGAGGCATAGCCTAAAATGAGAGGGAAAGGCAGCGGGGCCTGGGGGCAGGGCAGGGAGAACCAGTCCCTGTGAGTCATCACGGCCACTGAAGACAGGGGGGGCGGGGGTGGGGGTGGCTTCCATCTTCTTGAATGGCACACTTAACTTTTTTAAAATCATCACTGATATTGGTGAAAAATATTTAGGAAAATACTATACTTTGCTTCAAATACCAAATAAATGGATTAAGAAGAAAAATATAGTATTATGGACTGTAATGATGGACTTCTACCTGCCTCTCACATTCTGCCTGTTGTAACGTGGCCATCCCAGTGGTCACTATGGGTCAGCCATTTGGGCAATCCTGGACTCCCAAGGGGTCTCTGGGTTTATACTTTTTTCTTGACATGGGGGACTAGGGGAATAGAGAGAATTTTCATCACTTGAAACAACTGGCCTCTTTTCAAATAAAGCTGCCTTATACGGGAGAAAATGGAAACTCGCCAGGCTAGGAAATAAATTACTGGTATGTTCCCAGCACGGGGCACTGAGCCTCTAGGGACTCTGGTTGTGTAGCAACCAGCCAGTGTTCAAGCACTAGCAGCACATTAGCAAACTAGGTCTATGATGAGCACTGTGATCAGCTGCAGCCCAGTGCTTCTCTATTAGCAATTAACAGCCCACCAGCATGGCATTGCCTGTAAATGGTGCCACTAGCCAATGGTGGGCTGATAGAACCAACTGGATCCACCTATTAGCTGACAGCAGGCTAGAGCAGTTGGCTGGGACTCTTGGGTCATGGGTTCTAGTCCTGGCTCTGCTAATAACAAACTGTGTGTCCTTACACAAGTCATCTTGCCTCTTGGGGCTGTTCCTCATTTATAAAAGTTAAAGAATTTGACTAAATGACCTCTAATGCCTTATCCCTAGAGCATGTCTTTGTGTTTGCATCTTGGCCTTACCATTATTAGCCGCAATCACTCTACCTCTTTCAGCTTTAGTCCCTTCATCTGCCAAGTGGAAATCATGATGTTTACTTTATGTGGCCTGTGGTGGGTTACGAGAAAGGCCAGTGGAAGCCTTAAGGATGTAGAAATAGAAATAGGACACAGAAGTATGTGCCTGAGGTGAGAGCAAGTGATCCCTTAGAAGACAGTAGGAGACCCCTGACTGCTGGCCCGCAGGTATAAAAGGCAGTGAGTTCCAGCTTCTCCAGGGAGCTAACTCCACTTATTAGGAACTTTATCCTCTGCACACCCTTTGGACAGTTTGCTCACTACTTTGTTGGAAAATCAAAGTGCAAACAACCCTGAATACATTGAGCTGCCATCTTGCGAATCTTCCAACCCAGACCACCGTGTGGTTAAGCTATTTCAGGGTCACTGTGAGGACCCAATGACCAACAGGTGGAAATCTGCCATGGTCTTATCCTTCCTTCGCAAACACCCTCGAACACCACCTCCCACAATCACCAAGAATCTCTTGAAAATAACACAGGAGGCAAGAGGGAGGAAGGACAGAAGTTTCTCTTCCGTTGCATTATCAATGTCAAAGTCAAGGCACAGCCTAACTTTTTGTAGGGCTTTAGTACATGCAAAAGTGTAAGTTCCTGCAGTAAAATCGTGAACATTTGAAGTTTTCTTAACTGCCCATTCACTGGGAGCACTGTTAGCTGATTCTTCTGCAAGTTTGGGGGTGAATGACAAAACCAATGGCCAATGGAGAGAGACAGTGGGATGAAACGGCACGCACGGTGCAACAGCGGCCAGGGCACCTGCCCAGCCTGCATATCTCCTAACCATGGCTGGAGGACAGCAACAGCCCAGAGCATTTAAAGGCGACCCTCTAGCTTTGCTTGTTTTGAGACATGGAATGTTCCCAACGAGGTCTGGCCAGGCACCTGAGATTTACATATTCTATGCATATTGGTGCTTCTCACATGGTACTTTAATCACTTTAGTATGTGGCTCTTGGAGGAGAGGAAAGGCCACATTTATCTTACAATCCCAGAGCCTAAGGTTTTTCTTCAGTGTCTGGCGCTCTCCCTCTGGTTTTCACAGCCAGGCTTTCCTGGTGCTTCTCCCCTCAGCCCCTTCCTCAGCTCCTCCTCCTCCACACAACTGCTCAATGCTGGGCCCCTGGAATTCCACGGGTGCCGTCACCGGCCCCATTCCCACCCTCTGCCATCCGCATGCAGCAGCGGTCAGAACTGTCCACCAAATGTGTCAGCCTGCGGTGTTCACAGGCACCTCAGACCCAGTGGTCCCAGACTGGAAAATCGTCCCTCACTCAGCTGTTCTTCCTCCAGTGTTTCCAATTTCAGTGAGTGGCCCCACTGTCTGCCCAATTGCTGCAGCCAGAAACTCGAGGGTCAGACTTGACTTCTTCCCCTCCTTCCCTCCCCTCATCTAATGTCATCAAATCTTGTCAACCCTACCTCTGAAACGCATGTTGAATCATTCATGGCTCTCCAACTCACTGCCACCGCCCCAGCACAGGCGGAGCTGGCTAAATAAGAAATATGAGAACACCCCGGGCCGCCCCCCAGGACCCATCTCACCTCAGGACGATGCCAATGCAGAGGAGCGTTCCGAAGGCCAGGCTTCCTCCAGCCACCAGGAATGTATACAGTGGTATTGGAGAATCTCGCACTAGATGGGGAAAAGAAAGAGGAAGAGGAGCAGAAAGAAGAAAATAAACCACTCAGCTGGTGCTATCAAAAGTCTCAAAGGAACCGCACCCCAGGAGGAGGAAACAGCTCTGCTAACCAGGAGGCCACTCGCCAGTTTTCTGGCCAAAGCCAACTCCCAGCAGAGTCTGACACACCCCAGGATTCTGCCACTTGGCAAGATACACAGCTCAAGCTCAGAGCTTCAGAGACCTGTGGCCAGCCACAGACTCCCACTCACTTTCAGAGTGGCTTTTCTAGTGGCGCTCAGCCTGTCCCCACAGGGCTCAGAGCGGGGCAAGAAGCAGAAAGCTTTGGCAACCTCATTGATGGCAGTTCCTTTGAGGACAACGGCAGGGAGGCTCAGGTGCTTTAAATCAAGTATTTGGGTGCAGGGTTCTCCATGGGGCATCATCTCTTGCCTGCTTCCCCACTTGGTATTCAAGCCCCAGCCTTGAGATCTTCATTCGCTCTCCCACATGCCATGTTCTCTCCCCTCCCAGGGCTCCACACGCATCTTTCCCTGAACGCTCTTCCCACCTTCACTGCACCCCTTTTCTGTCCAATCCCTACTTGGCCTTTGGGCCGCAGATGAGATGAGGTCACTTCCTTTACACCGTGACCCCACTCTAAGCTGTGTAAGTGCCCTCCCGGCTTCTTCCTCCACCTCCAATCTGAGCCCCCTAAAAGCGGGGACCATGGGTGTCCTTCTCACTGTTACTCCCTGAAGTAGATCATGTACAGAAGAGCATGGAGGGCAAAGTAAGTGAGAGGGGAAATGGAGGAGGCGAGGTCTAAAGATAGGAGGGCTGACCCCGTAGACACTATGGCCTTTGATAGGACTTCAGCTTTGACTCTGGGGGAGATGGTAGGAGCCAGGAGAGCTTGGGCTTGTTTTTTAAGAGCCGCTCTGGCTGCTGGTTGGAAGAGTCCGTGGCAGTGGACCAGCAGGCAGCTCCTAAGGTCCTGCAGGATGAAGGACAGCACGGCTGCAGGGGGTATTGGCAGTGGAGACGGTGAGAGATGGTCAGCTTCTAGACATGTCTCAAGGTCCAGCTGACAGGAGTTGCTGGGGACCTGGACATGAAATAAGGGGTAAGAAAGGCCTGATCTCCAGGGTCCGAGCAAACCAAAGAATGGGGTGCCAGTTACTGAGATGAGGAAAGTGGAGAAGAACTGATTTGGGCTGGAGAGGTAGAGAGGCATCCAGAGATTCAGACGTAAGTTTGAGGCTTCTAGTAGATATCCAAGTAGACATGTCAGCTAGGCAATGGGCACATGAAGCCGGGTCTTGGTGGAAAGCTCAGGGATAGAGATATAAATTTGGGAGTCATCAGCTGTGTTGAAAAACAAGGATCTGGATGAGGTCACCAGTGAGAGTGGATGGAGGGTCCCTCCTCCACAGTAACCCCGAATAGCTGCCTCCACCTCCTGCTGTCCGACCCCTACCATTCAGGGTTTATTTCAAACGGCACCTCCTCCTTGAACTTTCTGGGAGTCTCCCAACTGGACGTGCTCCCTCAAGTCTCTAAATTTCATTGACTTTATCTATGCCTCCCTTTTGCCTGGTAACACACTCTGGTCTGTTACAGTTCCTACTTCGTCAGAGGCCACCCCGTGGATCATAGATTCCTGCAGAGCAGAGGTGGGTTCAATTCCCTCTGAGCCCCCAGCCAGGCCAAGCTCAGCCCCCTCCACCAACCGTATTTAGCAGGTCTACCCTTGGCGCACTGCGTGAGGTAGGGCTTTGCACTGATGGTGCAGTCAGCATCAGGTGCCGGCAGGACGGCGAGGCCACAAGTTTCCTCGGAAAGGCCAACAGCCATCAGAGGGAGCTGCTTGAATCCTGAATCTGCAGAGCCTGGACTCCGTAAGTCCCATATAAATAGTAAAACATAGTACCTGTGGTCTTTTTTTAATGCAAATGATGTGAGTTCTGCTCTTGCAGGCACAGGGAATCAGAAACACTGAAACCAAGCGCTCTCAAAACAGAGATTATCCTCCCCATGTGTCCCGTTTCAGACTCCAATCACTTTGTTTGTAACACATTCATGTGTATTCTGGTCAATTGTGAAATAGTTTGCTGACTTGTCTCATTACGTTTGTGGTCCTCTCATAATATCTTAGCTAACAATATCAAAATTGGATATATAAGATAATAAAAGAATATTTTGGCCATTGGTGCTTTTCATTAAGCAGACTGGCCTCTCTCCACATTTCCAAATAAGAAAGACTTTGTGCAGAGACAAGCCGTTTGTGTCCCTTAGGCCAAGGGAATACAAAACTATACAGTGCTTACCTGGGAGGCTTGTCGCATTTGGAGGATGATAGAGAGAATTATCACCACCTTCATCAGTACTAGGTGCCTAAAAAAGACATTCCTCACTGTAAGCCTGTCGCTGCTGATTCCACCATCATTCAGGACTCAGCGCTGGCACCACCCCCACCCCCTCCCTGCCCCACCCAAGCCATTCCTTTCTCTATCTCACGTGCCTCTCCAGTTCTGACTTGCCACTGCGAATGTTTGCACTGTTTTCATTATTTGTAGCTACACGTTGCCCGCTCAAGGTGGGGAATTCTTCCCATCTGCCTCTCCACCCAGAGCTTAAGTTATCTTACGGGTCTGGTGCCAGGGCGTGGGTACCTCCACTTCCTGGGAAAATCACAGATTAGGAGCCTGGACCCACCACTTACTAGCTCTGTGGCCTTGGGCAGACCTCTTAAACCTGTGTGCGTGGCAGTTTTCCTCCCTGCAGGCACCCTGACTCTCAGTTAATGTAAGGATCGAATGAGACAGCAAATGCAAGGTTCAGAGCCGAGCGCCTCAGCAGGATCTCAGTCAGCGTCAGGCCCCGCACTCTGTGTCGGGCGTGGTCTGGCTCCACAGGCGAGACTCCACCCTGGAGCTGCTTCTGCCAGCCCTGTGGTCTGGCGTCCTTGATGGGGAAGGGGAGGATCCCGGGCTCCTCCTCTGTGTGCCCAGCCCCAGGTGGGCTGGGCCTCCCAGCTTAGCATTTGGGAATTGAGAATAAGGGAGGGGATGCAGTTGAGTGGGAAATTGGATTACTCAAGGATTTGTTAAGCAGCTTCAGAGGAGATCCTCTTTCCAGATCAGCGTGACACCGGGAGCCCACAGGGAAGGGCTCAGAGGAACTGAATCAGAGTCGCACACTAAGCCTTTGGGGTAGTAAGTGGCAGAACTAGGATCTGAACCAAATGCTGCCTGGTGCCAGCCATAATGCTAACCCATAGGTGCCGCTGCCCTGACCCTTGTACAAGAACATTACTCACCTTCGTGGAGGGAGACACCGCCACCTTGGTCTCAGCTGAAAAACTCATTGGTTCTGTGAATAGAAGAAATATCATTATTAATGATTCATGGACCCTGAAGTCCTGTGTGATGGGCTGCAGAGGCAGAACAACATTCATCATAATGTTATTTAAAAGAGCACAATGTTGAAAATAACCAAATATCCAGCCATGAGGGACTAGCTACATAAATTAGGATATACCCATATATTTGAATAGCTTTTACAAATATTTTAGAAAAATGTTGAGGACACGTTGTGTTATATGAAAAATGCAAGGCAAGAAAAATCCAGCCCTGCCTGGGTGGCTCAGCTCATTGGAGCATTGTCCCATACACCAAAGAAAGGTTGCAGGTTCGATCCCCGGTCCGGGCACATATGGGAGGCACCAGATCAATGTTTCTCTCTCACTTCGATGTCTCTCTCTCTCTCTCCCTCTCTAAAATTCTAAAGTCAATAAAAACATATAAAAACATAATCTTGGGTTTGGATTAGGAAGACAAAGAAAAAAAGAGAAAAAACCCATGTAGTTTGATCCAAAATTTCCAAAGAAACTTATTTCCATATTATTTATTGTATATCACATTATGTACCATAGTATATATTCGCACACAGGAAGGAAAATATTGAAAGGATATACATCACCATAAGTAAGCACTATTAACATTTTAATTAGGATGACTATAGCTAATGCTGCTGTCTGACATATAGGAAAGTTGTTAAGAGAGTAAATCCTAAGAGTTCTCATCACAAGAGGAAATTTTTTTCGTACTTCTTTTTCTCCTTTCTTTTCTTTTTATTGTATCTATATGGGAAGAAGGATATTAGCTAAACCTATTGTGGTAATCATTTCACAATGTGTGTAAATCAAGCATCATGTTCTGTGCCTTAAACTTGCACAGTAATGGGTGCCAATTATCTCTTAATAAAACTGGGAAAAATATAAAATAAATAAAAACAAACATTTAAATTTCCTTCTCTGCACCTTTTTGCAATAAAAAGTATTTAACATGACAAGTTCTCATCCACCAGGGTGGATTTAGTACACTTCGCCCAAGATGGGCGGAGGCCCCGGCACCCTCACAGGGCCCTTCCCCCTCCCTGGGAACAGCATCTCTGCAGAAACCTTCAAGGGAGCAGGCGGCCAAGACTCAGAGGGAGAGTGAGACCCGAGGCCAGGCTCAGCGGCAAACAGGGGCCCAGGGGACCAGGAGCTGAACTGTGACTGGCAACGGAGAGAATGCTCTGGATTTTAAAGTATTTTCAGTTTATCACTTCACCATCAAGAAGTTAAAAATATCACAGAAATTGTTTACACAATAATTTGTAAACGTCGAGCCTCCCTGAGCCAGGAGTAAAATAACTAGCAAGGGGGTGGAGGAGAAGGTGACCCCGCGCTCCTGCCGCGGAATTTCCCGCCGCAGCACCCCGTCCCCAGCAGAGAACAGCGCAGCACTGGGCGGCGTAAGAGCAGGCTCACTCTCTCTGCCCATCGTGCGGAGAGGAAACAGGCCCAGGGAGGGCCGGCAACATGTCCAGGGTCACACAACCAGGGAGCCCAAAATCAGCCTAGAGTAAATGGAGGGGTCCTGATTCTTACTCTTTTGTGCTCTTCTGCCGGGCCTGGCAGCGGTGACTCGCACCGGAAGGTGACTGGAGGAGGAACGGAGGGTATGGGGGCGCTAGGGTGAAAGCTCAGACCAGGAAAATGTGGCTGAGCGTAGATGGCCATTCAGTCCAATGATTCCTAAACCCAGCCGTGCTCGGCACCATCTGTGGCGTTTGGGGGCTCACCCTTGACCTGTGGCCTCAGAGTCTTGGGGATGGGACCCAGACAGCAGGGCTTTTAAAAGGCTCCCCAAACCCAGAGAGAGGTTTCAGGAAGAAAGGGAGACCTGCATAGTTTCTACCCTCAGCTCTGAACCCCAATGGGATATGTGGTCCAGAGAAGAGCGTTTTACCTTTGGTGACGCAGCTTTCCAGAGTAAAGTGGCAATTTTATTTTGATGTTCTCTCAAATAACTCAGGAAAGTTACCCAAATGAATAAAAGTTTTTTAATGCAGAATAAAATTGTCTTACATAACAAGACTTTAAAATATCTCCCTAGATGACCGTGGGGACCCCTAATTCAGACCACTTTGTCCCCTGAGAGAGAAGGTAGAGTAACTTTTGCACCATTATTAATAATCATCATTTCTGTTTTCTAGATGAAGAAATCGGGGTTCAATGGAAATAAGATTAATAATGCATTTGGAGGTTTACTATACACCAGTTCCAAAGAGTCCGTTTGCCAGTACCATCATCTCGTCTCTCCCTTAGAGCCTCCTGCAAAGCGGGCACTGTTATCCCAGTTTTACAAAGACACTGAGACTCACAAAGGCTGTGGGAAGTTATTAACCTCAAAGAGCACATTCTTTTTCTGTTTAGGCAAAAGTATTTTATACTTCTATTCATGTGTTTTATATTTCCTAATGCCTCGCTTCAGTTAGTACGGTGGGTGAAAGAGGGGAAGGAAGCATCAGGCACTGCCCCACGTGAGGGCCTAGTGCCAAGAGGTGACTGACAGTCGCGGTGATGGTGACAGTGGCGACGAAACAACAGCCACTGTGGTAGCAATACCTACAATCTACTGAGCACTTACTATGTGCCAGGCACCATTTTCACGACTTTACCTGAATCAACTCACAAGGCCCTGAGATAGGTACCGCTGTTATTCCCACTTTACACATGGGGAAACTGACGCACAGGAGGTTAGATAAGTTGCCCAGAAGTTTTGTGAGAAATAAATGTAAAGCTTTCTGGCTCCAACAATGAATTTTTTTCCCTTTATTTTAAACATCATCTCTCGATTGAATAGTTCTCAAATTCAGAGGCTGTATTTTACTCATTTTTGTAAACTCAGTCTGGAACACATCTTCTCTGGCATTTGCTGAAAATGTCAATTATGGAAAATCACTTGGAAAAAAAGACTATTAGAAAATTAACAGTGGTTGCGACTATGTGGTTTCCCTGCATTAATAATTCCAAATTAGAAGACGTACTTTTATATTTATGACAAAATGAATGATCATACTCTAAATGAGATTAATAGAAGGCCATATGTGAGTTGCGTTTTCTTTTTATAGAAGATTCTAAAACAAGGAACTTATTTCCATTAATTTAAGAATTGTTTTGGGTTTGCTTGCTTCGTTTTTGGAATACAGAAATCTAATATAGAAGATGGCAGAGGACTTCTTCACACCAAACATGTAACCTTAGTCAAGAAAGACACTTAACCTCTTTTTTAGACCTTGTTTCTTCATTTCTAAGCAAGGGGATGGCTTCCTCCTGCACAGATTGCCCAAGGTCACACACTAAGAGGACCTAGCATGGGCCTGGTACACAATAACATCTGTTTAAAAACTGACCCAGCCTTGGCCAGTGTGGCTTAGTTGGCTGTAGCATCATCCTGTAGGCCGACAGGTTGAGGTTGGATTCCCGGTCAGCACACACACCCCGGTTGCAGGTACAGTCCCCAGCTGGGGCATGTGTGAGAAGGCAATCAATCAATGTCTCTCTCTCTCACGTCTTCCCCCTTCCTTTCTCCCCACCTTCCTCTCCCTAAAAGCAAGGGAAAAAATATCCTCAGATGAGGAAAAAAATAAAATAAAAAATAAAAACTGACCCAAGTTTCAAAATTAAGAACAGAGAACACAATAACTTCTGGGATGTAATGTACAGCATGGTGACTATCGTTAATTATACTGTGTGATATATTTGAGTTGCTAAGAGTCGACTCTAAGAGTTCTCATCACAAGAAAAAAAATTGTAACCACTAGGGTGATCATTTCACAATATATACATATGTCAAATCATCATGTGGTTCACCTAAAACTACTACAATGTTATAGGACAATTACATTTCAATAAAATTACATGGAAAAAGAAGAGAGAACATAAAATATTTTTTTCTAAAAAATGTTTAAGTGGTATATCATGACAAGTTAAGATATGGGCAACTGGGCAGGGCTCAGGGTTGGGGCACAGAGAGGAAATACAGGGATGCGCTGAGAATTAAAAGAGGAGAAAGAAAAACAAGGGAGGCCAGAGGGTGGCAGAGAGATGAGAGAGGAACCACAAAGCCAGACCCTCCGAGGAGGGAGAGAAAAGGGCCCACACAGGCTGCGCACCAGGCACGCCTTCCACTCTGCACACACTCCCTCCCTCAACCTCACAGCTTTCTTCCTTCACAGCCTGTAAACCACCAACCAGAAAGTCAATCATTGCTCACCATTCAAGAAAAAAAAAAAAATCAAACACCAAAAACCTCACTGAGAAGCTGACAGTCTCCCGAGAAAGACATAACTCACCTCCCGTCGGGTCCCAACACCCGTGAGGGTGGTCTGTAGACAAGCCTACTGGCCTGGGGCCAAAAGAGAAACATCCAGGCAGGGCCATGTGGATACCTACATGGGGAAGGTTGCCCAGGAGCCCTTCATTCCAAACTTAGGCCCTTGTTTCATCCTCTCTTTTATGAAATAATGGTGATGGTAATTAGCAACAGCTATTTTTTACTTAATGGTTTGATTTTATGTACTTCCTCAGCAATGAAAAGTAGGTGACCTTATTGAGTCCCCGAAATTCCTTCTGAGATTTTGTAGACCTGTGAAATCCTTTAGTTTAGGAACCTCTGAGCTACACGGATGGGTTGGGCAGGCAGCGAGGACGAGGGAGGCAGCGATGCCCCTGGACAGAAAGGGAGCTGACCAGATGAACGCACGGCACGAGGACGGAAGGACATGCGTGTGAGGCTGGGTCGTGTGCCGTCCAGCTGGTGGGAACAAGGTAAGTGAAGGAGGGCCAGACATGAGGGAGAGGGGGCAGGCAGCCCAGGAAGCCCCTCTGCACAAGCTCAGGAGTTTGGACTTCACGGGGAAAGTAACGGGGAGCCGCAGCCGCGCCAGGCAGCGATTTGGACAGTGCCTGCAGCAGCGGTGTGGAGGGCGCCCAGTGCTCACACACCAGACAGCAGGTCAGTAAGGAGGGGCTGTTGTAA